AGGGAAATCAGTAAAAGTAGTAAAAGCAGATGATGCCAGCAGATGGCAGTGCTTGTTAGCAGCGTTTTCCTCTGCTTAGGAGAAATAGGGGTCTGCTCAAAATGTGAAAGGGTTTTTATTTACACACCGCTTCTCGCATGCTAACAATGCAAAGGTCCAGCTCAAGATGGGTAAACCCATCATCACAGAAATGCCTGTACTGTGACCACACTCCTCTGCACATCTGGGAGAGCCGTGTCCTCTTAGAGGCTCTCCATTGGGCTCATAGTTGAGAAGCACTGGAGGACTGCATGTATGGGATGTGGGAAGGAAGGCTTCTCCTAACGATGCCCTTGTCATACTAGCTTTGCAGGCTCGCAGAGCTTCTGTTCTTCTAGGCCTGCTGGCTGGACAGTTCATTCCTAAATCTTTTAAAGGGTTTTTAGGCAGAGATGAAATAAGAAAGCAGAGCTGATGCCTTTGTGAAGGTGACACTGTCCTTTAGTGATGGTGTGGAAGCAGCATCCAGGGACTTACCCTGTTCTGAAAACTGACAGTATGATCTAGTAGGGACTGATTCTCCAAAGATGTCAGCAGTTTCCTTGTGGAGCAAAAGGGCCCTCACAGGATTAGAAATAGAGAGAGAAGCTTGTTAAAGAGAGCTGCTTTTGAGAGACTTAGTAAGATGGACCTTTTCCCACATGCAAGGTGAGATGGCTGCTGTTTTCGTTAATTTGCACCTGCTTACAGATGAGTCTTTAATTTCTGCAACATGCCTTATTAGGTAGCATGAGCTCTACTACTAGAAGTTTGCGTGATGCAGACTATTCCCTGTTCTTTCATGGAGATTGCATGGTGTCTCATTCAGGGCATGTCCTCCATGTATATTCCTGACATCTCAGGAGGACGGAAAAAATTTTTTGTCTTCGTAGTAATTCGAAGTAAGCTGGCTGGTCAAGGTGGAGGAGGCCTCATTGCAGAAAGGACTGTGCTGAGTGTGTGCTCACATGTGTGTTTGGCAGAGCGCTGTCCGGTTAGAGGCCATCTGTTCGCTTCAGAGTTAAGGTACACTGGGAGGGGTGAGAGGACTGCTCCTCAAAAGCTGTGTCTAGAGAGCTCTTCTGTAAATTTTAATTTCTCTGATGGGCTTGGTTGCTAGATGAAATGATCCTTTACTTATTTAACCTGTGCCAGTCTCGTGCAAAGTTCTGAAAATTGTAATCTAATAATACTGTTTTGCCAAATTCTCAGTAAAGACACCTGAGTAGGAGAGGTCAGGGGAAAGGATGAATGATTGGTGGGTGGTATGTTTTGCTGGCCATGATGGTTATAACTTTTTGAAAGTGATTATTGTTTTTATCTTGAACAGTGCAGTGTTGTGATGAGCCATGGCAATCTACACTTGCAGCCTCTAGGCTTAAGTGAGAATCTGCTCTGGCCAGATGTAGATGGGACAGGACGTTTTCACAGCACTGTCTCTTTGTGTATCCAGAGGCTGTGGACCCTTTTAAGAGGCTCCTGGCAGATGCCCTCAAAGGAGGATGATGTCAGCTAGTGTGAATGTCAGAAAGAATCTGCTCCAGCCAAGCTCCTCTGGAGCCTCCTTTGTTTAAACCAAATTTCTCCTAAACTTTCCTTTAAGAAAACTCGGTAAGTTGCTTTTTCAATTAGCATTTTTATATCTTCAAAATATTGTCATTTAATAATGCTCTATGAATTACTGTTTAGTACTTTTTTAGTAAGTTTGAATACTTAAAAAAAAAAAAAAAAAAAAAAGCTGTTAATGTACTCCCCAAACCACAGTTTTATAAGGGTACTTCCTGTATTACAGGCATAGTCTTAGAACGTAAAATAAGGTCTTGCTGGAAAGAGCATTCCCAGCAATTACGAATAGGTAAAAGATCTAACGCAGTAGGGTTTCATCAGCAGTTTATTACTCAGTCTCTCTGCTTTCAATGAAAGTAGTTTCACTGTGGATTTGAATTAGAGTCCTCTGTGCAGTTTGTATCCTAAACAGAGTAGCATTGTTCTAATGCATGAGAACCAGGAGCAAAATTGGCTAATTTGATCTCGTTGCCCAAACTGCATGAAGTGCAAAGTATAAACTAGCAGCAAGTGGAAGAGCAAAATTACATTTGCAAAATACATTTTTGATGGTCTAAGCCCTTGATCCAGTTCTGGTTTTCTGTCCTATTGGGCCCGATTAAATATTCTGGTAGGCTAGATCCAAACTGTATGTGTAGATCGGAGTGCATGGTAGCTGGTAAACAGGAGTGTGCTTAGAGAGATGTATTTTCATAACGTAGTTGCTCTGTGCAATATGACTACTAAGTAGTATGTAAAGCTGTGTGGTTGTGGAGTCTAATTTCCATAATAAGGAGTTGTGTATCCTAGATTCAAGATGGTTAGGAACCAGATTTCTGATTTACTGGAAATTCCCAAGACTCGTTTTTTTTTTTTCTCATGCCAAAACAAAAATGCACATAAAAAGTTACAGAATGCCATACAGTAAAAGAAAATGTCATTCCAATTCTGACTTATTTCGTTAGAGATAGCATAACTTTAAAAAAAAAAAAAAACTGAAAAGCAATTTCAAAACAGAACATGGAAAAATTGCTTTCAGGTTTTAGCATGACTGACACATTCTTGTACAGTGTTTTGCTTTTGAAAAGTTCTCATTTTCTGCCCAGAAAATTTGTTGTGAAAGAACTTCTGATGTGCTCTATTACGTGCTGCCTCTGGACTAGGAGATTAGGGAGGGCTGTGGATCAGAATTAGAGAACAGGGCAGCTAAGCCTGTAGCTATCCTGTAGTTGCCAGGCACATTGATCTCATATATTCTGCTGACCTGACATTTACTTTTCAGAAGAAATATTCTACTAAGTTGGGGAGACAGTGTGTGATATTATCAACGATAAAAAGGAATAAAAAATCAAATACACAAAGAAAGCAAACCCCTAAGGAGCTTTGAGAACATTCCCTGGGACTAGCTGGATCACAGGCAAACAATGCAACTCACTCAGCAAACACCATTTCAGCAGTTTGATGGGTGACACGCCAGAAAAGAGCTCCAGAGGAGTTGGGCTCTCCCTCCTCCCCACCTTTTCCAAATTCCTTGGTCCAGCCTGGAAGAGAGACTTTTCACAATGCTGCTAAATGCATACATGTGTGCTCCCTGTTAGATGTGCAGCCTGTGTTCTCCTCACCCCCCCTTTTTAGGAACTACTTTCTGTTTGTGTGATTTGAGACAAGAATACAGCCCCTACCCCCTAAAATTATAAAAGACTATCCAATAATCTGGCAAAGGAGAACCCAGGCAAGGGGAGAGGTGAGAAGCTTGCAAGGGCAGGAGAAGTAAACATAAAGCGCTTCAGGAGCTGGCGAGGAGGGCAAAGACCATGTGGTTGACAGGGGGGAGCACAGGATCTTTCACATTTTCTCAAGGCGCTGAATACGCCTCTGTTCCCCGCTCCCCAGCCAGCCCTTTCTGTGCAAAGCTGCAGCTTAAACCCCTCCCCTCTTGCTTTCACTCCCGCCACCTTTCCCGTTCCTGTTCATTCAGAACAGATGATGCTTCTCATCACATGCAGTCCTCTCCTCTCCCTCCCCTCTGCCCCAGCCCTTTAAATAGCTTTATACCACCAAGAATTCAGTTGTGCTGGAGAGAGCAGGAGCAAGGAAAGGGAGGGACGTTTGACAGGCAAAAGTAGCATTGCAGCAGTGGAGGGTGAGGGTCTGGAGCACCCCGTGTCAGCTCTGACAGAGCAGGAGAAGTCAGGGATACCTAGGAACAGGGGTGTGTGCATTTAGATCTACAGTGCCACATAAATGTTTTGTAATAACAGGCAGAGGGAAGAAGGGGAGAGAGAGCCCAGGGACAAGAAGACAACCCCAGCTCTCTGGTGATGGCATGGATCGGACACTTTTCCAGCAGCTGTTTTACGTACCTCTCAGTCCTGTCACCGTCCAGTATCCCTGAAGTGGCACAGCACAAGACTGATGCACAGCTGCTGTTAGCAAGTAAGTTACCCTATTGTTTGTTTGTTTTTCCAGTTCACTTGCGTTCTTCTCTGGCTGTTAAGGATCAGGAGCCCAGAAGGCAGGAGGACGAGTGGCTGAGTTATTAGGTCAGCTGAACACCAGGTTTCCGTGCCCAGCCCGGCGAGAGTGACAGCCAGAGAGATCTGTTGTTGTCTAACTTACTAGCTGCCTGGGAACTCTTTGGGAAGCCGGGAGCTAGATCTTGACCTTGGGCAAGAGCACTCTCAGATGTGGTAAAGTTGTTGTGCAGGAAAAAGAAATTAAAAATCATGAAGTGCCCAGGTACCTGATTACTGGGGGTCATTGCAATACTGTGGGCAGAGGGAGGCTGATCTGTAAGCAGTCCTGAAACCCATGGAGTAACTCTGTAATCCTCACCTGAAGTCAAAGATTAAATTCTTTCATAATTAGGATGCTTACTATTCAGCTTAAGGTTCAAGAAGTCCTCACAGTTTTGTGTCCGGATGATGAGTTGTCACATTCAGCTCTTGTAGAGGACAGACAATATCATGTATTGGGAATCATTAGGGGTGTTTATGGCTCTGGAAGTAAAAGCCTGACTCCCCTTTGTACCAGTGCCATGCTGAACGGTTTAGAAACACACCCACAGCCTTTCTGTTTTATTAGTGCATGCTGCTCGGGAGCAACATGCTAGCTTTTATATGGCATTGTCTCTCATTTATTTTTGACCTGAGAGTTTTGTGCACCCCATCAAGGACTGACGGAAACCATCCCTATCCCAGAGAGCGCACAGTATGACTTTCTGGATTTCTGAAATCAAGCAGGTCCTTCCTGCTATACCCTTTCACTTGTGAGCAGACAACTACTTAGACCTATAGCGGAGTAGCTTGGAGGAAAACAAAACTGGCCTTTCCTGCTAGTTCTCTGACCGATCCAAGCTAAGTATCTTCTGTGTCGTGGGGGAAGCACGCCTAGCTGTGTTTATTTTGGAGAAGTTATTTTACTTCTAGGGTCCAGTTCTTTCCCTCATTGTTCCTCCTCAGGTAGAGATAAAGGAGCAGGATCACGTCTCTGGTTCCCATTAGGGAAAGTTCTCCATCTCTGGAAGCTTCCTGCGCAGTTATTTCCACGCTCTGAAAAAAGGAGCAAGAGTTTTTGAGTCATATTCTGATACAAATCTCTAGGCCCTTTTGCATTAGGGACACCCCTTTCCTGTTTGGTTTGAGGTCTGGGGAGCCACTTGAACATCTGAGGTGAGCACTGGCACTTAACCAGCAGTTTGATTTTACGTTGGTCACTTTATCTTTCTGTAACTTATCGTCTCTTGTCTGCGCAGTGAGTTCAATAGCACTGTAGCGCTTCACGGGGCAGAAACAGCCTGCACTTGGTCAGTTCACCTTTGAGCTATTTGGATGCAAGTTGCTGCAGAGGTGTGAAGTGGTATTGATATCCTTTGATTCCGTTTTATTTTTTAAGCCAGCTGCAGGATTATATAGTGACTCTCTGGGGCTATTATGGTGCAATAGCTGAGTAACAGATAGCAGAAATATTAGTGCTTTTGGGCCAGGATTTTCTCTTAGGGCTGCTGTTCTTCTTACCCCAGTAGTCACTGTGTGTATTCTGCATGTAAAACAATCTGTAGCAGGAGAAATGGGAGTGTCTTACCATCAGGGCAAGAGTGTTTCTTTTTCTTTGTTCAGTTGTGTTGGCTAAAAGATAACGGACAAATTTTCAATGATGCCAAGAGGTCTCCCTAAAAATAGAGTCTGGGGTAAAAGCACAGAGACACTTCCTTGGAAGCGAAGGGATCAAATTGGTTTAGTTTCACGTTTTGTTTGTTGGGGAAGCCATTATCGTTTGACTATTAGAAACGGATTCAGAAGAATACCTGAGAACATAATGTTTGGCGTGCATCCTTTGTACACAGAATTTTTTATTCATGCTCACCTTTTATAATTTTCTGAAGTATAAAGTGATTAACTGAAGAGCTGCATTGATTGTATTCTCCTATGCACCCCATGCATTTGAACTGCATTGTATCAAGTAGCATTTATCCCTCCTGTTGTGGAAACTGTGTTCTCTAGTCATTGTTCTATAACAAATTGTTGCAGCCTGTACATTGGGGTAATTACAGCATCTCATAAGGCACTTCCTAGTCCTTATCTTTTGTAAAATAAATAAATAAATAAAACAAAACAAAACCAGCTTTATTCTCGGTAAAGTGTTAGTTCCCCACTCTTCTCTGTATTAGTTTGAAGTCAGTATATTTAATGCATCCACAAACTTATTATGTATGGTTTTTTTAATGCTTTAATTCCTACTAGGGAAAAAATCTATTCGAAACCTGTAGCTGCTAAGGAGCAAATATTAAATAGGAAACTCTTCCTCCCCCCCGCCCCCCCTTTTTTTTTTTAACAACTCATTATGGGTTTGAAAAACTCAGTAAAGATAGAAGTATTATTTTGTGGCATTAGAGATAATCTGGCTAAACTTTTCTTTTTGATGGGAAAATAAAAAGGTCAAATTATTTCTTTGTTTAAATGTATGGCTGCAATTCCCTTGAAGTTAAGGCTATAAGAGCTGTTTTCACTAGTTACAGATTTGGCAGTTCAGCTGGGCAGAGACCATTGCGAAAGACAAATACTTAGAAAAGTTGCCTTGAAAAAGCCCTCTAACCTAGTAGTGTTCCATGGATTTTAATCTGGAAATTGCTAGAATTTACTAGAAAATGAGCTCTTATTTATAGACTCTATGCAGTACTTGCAGTTGTCCCGTACAGAGTAATTCAGAGAACCTACTAAATTGCTCTTTGTTCCTAGGCCAGCCATTCTGTGGCTCTGAAAGATGCCTTTCAGTATGCATGTACAGACCAGTTAACATCATTTCTTAATGTTGCACTTTGAACTGTTTGTATTGGAAATTCCTCAGTCTGGCACAGGTACCATCTAGTCTGGTCTGGAAGGGCAGTGACAGGGCTCCCACCACAGCCTGCTGTGATGGCAGTCACGGGCTGCAGCAGTGTTTGTGAAACACTTTGAAATTCCCTAAAAAAAAATCCTGCTGATAGTGTGTAAGTTTTTCAGAGTAATCTTTAGACTCACCTCAAGCATAGGGGGAGTATATTCACTGCTGTTGGATTGGTGAAAGGGAAGGAGAGTGATTACAGGCACTTGCTTAGTTTTTTGGAAACTCCAGGTTCAGTTCCCTGCCCTGCCACAGACTTCCAGGGTGAGCATGGAAGAAGCAAGCAGTGTCCTTGTGACTCACTTCCCTATCTAAAAAAAATCAGAAATAGAACACTTCCTTATTCCACAAATCTTTTATTTTTTTTTAAAGTGCGTGATGTCTATGTTCAGCACCGAAACATTTGGATACTCTGGGAATGGATACCACACAGCTTCCTCAAAACTGAGAACAAAAGGGCTCACAGGTATTAGAGTTGTGATCATCCAGCATCGCTGCGGTGGAAGGATAGGTTAGGAGGTAATTGGCAGATAAAAGTATAGTGCAGCTGTCCATAAGCTCTCTTTCCCCATGTCATACTGACTTTTTCTACCCAGAGAGATTTTCTTACAAGAAATGTTTTTTGAAAAACTGAACAGCGTCTGGTATGATATTTCTGAGCCTAATGAGCTTCAAGCAGACAGGCAGTTATCAGCCCAGCTCTGTAACAAGCAACAAAGTCATCTTGCGTCCTTTGGTAGCTTCCATCAGTCACCGGTTTTTGTGTACTCACTGATGGATGTCTCCTTCAGCTCCAGAGGAATTCCATTGTAAAATCATGCCTGTCGATGTGTTAGAAAAGTGGTGCTGTCAATTAACGAATACTCAGAGAGGAAATAAAAGGAATCTTTCTACTTTGCTACTGAGTGAGACTGCACTTTGAAAAGCAGTTATTTGCATAGGGGAGCTTTTGAACCACGTTTGTTAGTGAGGTGCCACGGATCTCCCTTCTTGTGCACTTTCCTTAAATGGTTTACCTTGCTTGTGAGTAGCGTAACTCTCCTGCATCGTTCCCTTCACCTATGGCTTTCCAAGCACTTTCCAAAGAGGCAGCCATCGTTGTCTCTATAGGTCAGAAAGGTGAAGGGTGACATGATACGCTCAGTGTCTCTCTGTCTGTCTTTTTCTCACATACATGTGTACTCCTTGAAAGGTAATCTCACATTGGCACTGTTGACTGTTTAGTCCTAGTTATACGCCGGCAGTAAATGAAAGGATAACCGGAAAGCTACCTTTCTCAGGGAAATCAAAGCACCCTCTGTCAATCAGTATCTAATGGCCATTTCTCTTCAGATTTCCAA